AGGGGTTTATTTTCATTTATTAGTTATCAAAAAGCTTTGTTTTCAAAATGTTTTACTATTGGTATTATCCTCCAAAGACCTTGTATAAGGATTTATAAACGTGTATACTAATTTAACTTCATTTCATGTTTTAGTAAATTAAACAGTAAATATAATTTACCAAGATTCTTCTCCTAATTTTCTTTGTATTAAATCTATGACTATTTGTTGCTATTCCCCTATTTTGGCTTTAATTGAACAAAATGAAAGACAGATTTCTCAACGCAATTTCTTTCGCCACTTCTTTTTTCATCTACATTTAATCTTAGCAAAGTTGAATTTTTATCCTACTGCTTTAAGGTTTGATCTTATAGAATAAACTTCTTCTCAGATCCTATTCAATGTAATGGTTCCAATTATCTAAAACTTGATTGAATATTCTGAAACATTAATTTATGGATAAATGAAATAATTACATTATGCAACCTCCTACAGTAGATCTTCGAGACTAAAATCAAGCTCTTAAGCTCTAACTTTGCATTAATAATATTAAAAAAATAATATTATTTTAAAAAATTCCTAATGTGGAGAAAAAGATACAATTCAGGTTCAAGGAGACTCAGTCCCTATTAGGTTCATTAACAATCAACATCACCCTAATAGACCGACTATGAAGACTCCCTTACAGCTAAATGTCTGATTAGAATGTTTATGGAAAATGGTAATATAGAGGACCCCATTTTTTAAATTTTATTCATTGGAGAATCAAGAACTAGGTAGGAAGAGATGGAATCAGATCTTGTTTAGAAGGTTTATTCCTTGATGGGTGGAGAAAAAGGATAGGTCAAACGGAGCAAAGGAAAGTCTGAAGCTGAAGTTGAGGATAAAGGAAATGGGAATCGATACAGAAGTCAATGGAAAGTTGGCAAAGTAGTCTATTATGGGTGCCCCAATGGTTATCACAACAAAGAATTGGATAAATAAATCCGGGAGGAGAAAAGATTTTGAAATGGATATTTTTATGAACAACCTGAATTTATTTGAATGTAGAATTCAAAAGGAAGCGTATATAAAAATTTATCTGATATCATCTAAGCAAGACTAGTGATTCATAGATGGGATTAGTTCCCTGGTAGACAACCAGAGATCCATCAAGTACCTAATAGTAAGAAAGTCTATCATTTGATCAAGATGATTTAGATATACTTCAACATGTGCTCCAGCATAGGAGTCAGATTGATTACTTGGAAGTGTATTACCAAGAGATCAATCTTACATAGATTCATTTGATTACTTAGGATTGGTCGTAGCATATTAGTTTAGTGAGAGGTAGGAGAAAGGTCACGTCACCAAGAAGAGGAACAGAAAGAGGTCAGTCGAAAGCTCATAGGTAAGAGAAATGTTTCGAGAACTAGATGAACATAAGTAAAAGTAGTAGCAAAAGCAACAGCCATAAATCCAATTGATTATTGAGGAGTAGGTGCTGTCCGTTTAAGAGTTAGTAAAGAGCTAAGAATTTTTAAGAAAATAAAGGAACTGGTAGGTAGATTTATCGGTAACTACCACAGTTTACCCCAGCAGAGCTGATGTTAGAAAGAACTCGACTAAATGGGTTGGGTAGAAAAAGAGTTGAGTATGTCTCAATAGGTACTTGTAAGTAAGGACCCATTCCTCTAAAAGAATGTTTTCTAGGAAGGGTTGGTTAAGTTTTTCAAACGGTATGGCTACATCAATTTAACCAGATTCTTTTGAAACTATCACTGGAGTATACAAGTTTACCTTTAGCCAATGATGACATAGGAGAAATTTGAGATAAAGTGTGACACAATTCACCTTACTTAAGAACTAGATTATTAGGGAATTGGAATTTGAGGAATTGATCAATGGATATCTAGTCATTTTAGAGAGTAGATGATGGATTTACGCAGATACATGAGGCGATATTTGATTCATCAGAAACCGATATTTACACCGATAAGAATCTCAGGCCAAGGCGACTCTAAGAAGAACTGTAGCTGATAAGAGCACACTAGCCTAGTTTTTTTAAGTTTTTGCGAATCCAAGAGAATAAATGAAATAGATACTAATCATTTGGAATTAAGCCATCAGCATTTTGGGAATGGCGGGTATACCATGGAACTAGAACTTGGTTTCCCCTCCCCTCTGTTTCAAGATCTTCGATTATTTCGAAATTATAAAACAATCCTGTGTTACAAGTATGAACCTTGTTTCCTAAGAGGCTGTTCGGAATGATACATATAAATATATATTTAAAATATCAAATTTTATTATTATTATATATTAAAAATTTCAGATTAGAAGTGAATTTAGAATAAATAATTTGGATCTGCTAGCCTTGGTGATCTAATAATCAGATTATAATTCAGAGGATAAAATAAATATAGATTTTGAGTTTCATAATCTACTTTAGAACCTCTCTATCTTTAGAATCCTTTCATCTACATTTTCTTTACAAGGACTCCCATATTAGCGAAATCTTAGTTTCACCCTACTAGCCTTACCTTTTCTAAGATATTTTGATTCAAGTTCATCAATTATTTCCTCCCCACATCCATAGGAGTAATTCCGAAGAAGATTGTAGTAGTACGAATTCTTTTTCAAAAGTAGAATTATTAATTTATCTACAGAAACTTAAGATTTATAAAATTCAATAATCAAACAAGGTTTTCAGAATTCCTAAGTTTATAGTAGGACCATAATGATCTGAATATCTCTAATATTTCTACAGTGTTTCATCTCCA